CAATCAGAAAATTAATGTATTTTGCTTCCATTCAAAATGAGGCTGAAAAGGGGACAAGGGAAGGTAGCTAAATGAAATTTGAAATGAGACTGAAACAACAGAATCATACATACATTTGCCATAATAAACGAGTGGATGATAGGACAGAGATCATCTTCACAGGTGAGATGACGTTACATTTTTTATAACGGGCATTGTATAGGGCACTGAATGATTTCTTCCATTGATTAGGCTACTAGCCACTGTATGACGACAAGTGTTTTGTCAAGTCAAGTCACCTTTATTTATATAGCGCTTTTAACAATACAGATTGTGTCAAAGCAGCTTTACAGTATTAGATAGGAAAATAGTGTGTTAATAATTGGACAATAAAAGGACAATAGTAAACACTCAATTTTCAGTTAAAGGCAGTTCATCATTGAATTCAGTGATGTCATCATCTAGCTCAGTTCAGTTTAAATAGTATCTGTGCAATCAAGTGGACGATATCGCTGGAAAATAAGTGTCCCCAACTAAGCAAGCCAGAGGTGATTTTGTCAGTGATCTGAGAGATTAATGCGTCATTAATTATTACTTATTAATTATAAGACTATTTTAAAATATAAGGGCACTATCATTTTGTACATGAGCATAATTGTAAGTAAATATAGGCCATATAAAAAAATAAACCTGCTGCAATACATATCAGTCTCCCTTAAAATATAGCCTAACTCACGAGCCACCACTAATAAACTTGCCTTTTTAGTCGTTACTATGTCTATTTTTGCTCCGCAGACAGTTCCACACAAAGCCACAGCAGTGTCCTTCCTGAGTGAATCAGTGTATTTGAACGAATCGTGTGAATGAATGATTCAATGAAAAACTCACGAAGTCACTTTTCGCCACCTACTGGTGTATGGATGTAACCTGTAGAAAAAGTTATTGACAAATCCCAAAGACTTACATCCAGACTGACTGTCTGTAACAGTGAAAAATCGTAGTGCTGTTGGACTGTGTCAGCACTTTGGAACGCAGACCTCAGCCAGTCAAATTTGAAGACTAGAACTAGCTGTTGTACAATATGCTAATCAAATTTTAAGGGCATATATATGAAATAACAAATAACAGTTAAGATATTAGTACAGGGTGTGCTATATAACATATTACTCTGTAATCCTGTCTATGGATGAAGTGGCATGTGAAAGGCCTGGTGCCATTCACATATCACGTTTTTCCGCGCTCAAGTTCGTTATTTCAAATGTAGACGCGCGGCAGGCTCGCTCATAATGGAAGCGACGCGGCGCTTTCTGCTTTTTTCCAAAGCGTTTGGGCGCTTGCGCTCCGGAGGCATCTGCCGTTGCTAAGCAACCATGACCTGAGCTCTCCATGAAGACGCGGAAGTTTCAGCAAAGGATAAATGGATTTGCAGCACTAAAAATCGCTTGCAGTAGCTCTGCTACTAAATTTATTTTAAAATGGCTATCCCTGTACAGCTATGATCAGCTGTTCCTTCATCTTGGCTGAGCTTTCAATGTTGTTACGGGAAAGGATGAAGCTGATTGGTTGGTTCTTGTCACATGACCCACGGTGCGCTTGCGGCATTCTGAAAAGTTGAAATGTTTTTATCTCGATGCGGCGCGGAAGCGCCTGGAAAAAATGAGCGCGTCGGACCGCGTCGCTTCCAATATGAGCGCGCCTGCCGCGCGTCTACATTTGAAATAACGAACTTGAGCGCGCAAAAGACGCGATATGTGAACGGCCCCTAAGACTGCTGGGGCCAGGCCCAGTCCTTCACTGCCAGACGTGAGCTTTCCTCTTTGTGAAGGGAGGGTGAGCATATGCCCTGGGGCCGCCCAAAACCTGGAACATTAAAACTTGCCATGGTGGCTCAGCTCAGCCATGAACCCTGAGCTAGTCTGGCAGCTTGGCTGAGAGGAAGGATCTGAAGCCTGGACGACTGGGCCTGCAGTCAGAGCCAGGGCTGGACTCACTTCCTTGCACTATGAACAGGTATCATCGATTACAAACAGAATGTCCAAATCTCCAGAATTCTGCAGTGAGAGATACAGGTTTGAACAGGGGCCACAGTGCAGATGATTTTTGGATCCGATATAAAAGTGGCTCATTATTAATTATTCCTTTTACCATTTTGAACCCCTTTAAATGAACCATTTTATGCAAGTGCAGCTCTGAGGTTCATATTAATAGGAGCATTTGGTCATTTACAAAGAGATTAAAGGGGATGGATTTGGGACTCTACCTGTGAGTCTTTTGTAAGCACTGCAAAAGCACCTGCGTGTACATGATTATGAGAAAGAGTCCCTATTTCCGCTTGTTTCTCTCTGCTCTAAACACTTGTGTACCAAGACCGCTGTATTGTCTTCCTCTATACAGGGTTTAGACTCCTTCCTTTTCCTCTTCTGCCCTCCATTGGAAAGACCATGTTAAGTCTTCAGCATGTTCAGTGCACAGCCCTAATCAACTTCTTTCTTTCTTTCTATTACATTTAAGTGACACAGCCATATATCGTAAAGAATTTTTGGTTACACTTTTTAAGGTGACTTTGTAACAGTATAATTATAGATTTAAGTACTGATATTAATTACTAAATGTACTTAATATATGGTTAGGGTTAGGATAAGGGTTTGGTTTAGAGTTACTTGCACGTAATTATGCATAATTTATTGTTATTAGAATAGTAAGTACATGTAACGTGTTACAAGGACACCTTAAAATAAAATTTTTGCATAATTTTTGATAAGCTAAATGCATAAAATGTACTTTGACTGACACTGCTGAAGAAATGAACAGTCAGGACTGAGCTTTGTAGTTTATATTGTAAAACAGTCTAAATCTGTGTTCTCTTGCCAATATGACAACGCCACAGCAGATGTAAACATTAATCAAAACATTGATAAATATGAGCCTTGTTCCTCCATCAGATGATCCCTATTGTTATCGTGACATGCCGTATATGTTGTCATCCTTAATCTCCTTTTCCTGCAAGAAAAGCAGCACAACAGCTGAATTGCTAAATAAAAAAGCGGACCCTTTGTTAATTTTAATTATACTCTGACTTGCATCTGTTTGGAATACGTTCATGTTTCTCTTTCTAGCTTCTGGTAATAAAATCATATCATTCTAGATTGGCGCGTGGCATGTCTGAATGTCCAGAATAGAGTTGTTCTTAATCCTTTAGAAGCTTACAGTTCAAGATCACAATCTCTCCTTTTTCCTTCTTAAACACAGGATTATTTTCTTACAATCAGATAGACTTTTAATACAAAAGAATATCTTAATCTCTTGTCCCTAGTTAATAATCAATTAAGTCTTTGTGACAAAAAAAAAAAAAAGTTATTTAACATCAGGGTCATGTTGAGCTGACAACTGACATCAGAGGACTACAATTAGCCTCCGCACGAGGATGCCACAGAGAAATCTGCTCCGTGTTACTTACACTGAGAAGGCAGTTTGCCCCAGTAAAGCGCCGCTATTAACAGGGGCTATATGTTTTAGGACAATAAAGGAGGAGGAAGGGAGATTAATTCTGTCCACCGAACAGCCTCTGCCAGCCACCACGAACCTGCAGTTCATGAGCTAAGCAGATGGCTACTGATTGAGCAAGCTTTCAGAACACTGTATGGAAAAAAGAGTCCTTATCATGCTTGGCTGGACAAGTGTTTGAAGCAAGAGGAGATTTACAGTTAAGACTGTGTAAATCTTTATATGTCAAAGGCCTCAGCATAAAAAAAATAAAAAACTATTTTGTGCAGGAAAGGGTTAAAAAGTCCCATATTTTGAAATGCACAATGTAAATTGCATTTAATATGTTATCTTTAATTTAAAAATATAAAAAGTTATTATTATAGAAAAAAAGACATCTTAAAAAAACTTTGTGCACAGCAAAAATACTTTACCATATCAGTCTGAATTAGTTATACACCTAATGCACTGTTAATATTTTGTAATTTTCCATGAAGCTCTAAATTGGGAAAGAATGGTGTAACCAGAACATTTAATTTCAATTTAGTCCTCTCTTTAAAAAGGATAATTTGAGTGTATAATATCACTGTGAAATACATATTAGTACATACTGTATTATCATAATGGAAGATAATATAAGACAATACTTGTTGATATTTTGTCTAGTTAATGGCCCTGAAAACAAGAGAGACCTCTTTAGTTAGAGAAACTGTGTTCATTTCGAATACTGATTCATTAGAAAAGCATTGAGATGATTTAAAGTACAATATAGATTATTGTCTTTAATGCCTTGCTTTCATCACATACAAAAAAAAAAAAAAAAGATTGCCGATGTTGTCCTCAACAAGAAGACAATATGCAGCATTGCTGAAGCAGAAACGGTTTTACACTACATTTATTTCAGTTTCTTTCTTTTTGAAAAACTTGATGTCAATTTAATTTTGCACTAAAGTAACCAGTCGCCCACTTGTGCTCAAGGAACCAGCCACATCTTATAGAAGGCTATGACAAATGTAATATATTTTTTTCTTGAATCTGCCAGCATCTGATCAGTTTACCTTCTCTTAACCCTTTTACAAAATTAAATATTTTAATTATTAATCCTCTTTTTGATAATTGCACTTTACAATTTTTATTTATTTTGCAAAAAGCTCCAAAACGCTCTTTATATGGCAGCAACACAACATTTATCTTCTGATAAGAGCTATTCTGGGGGTACAAGCCACAAGAAAGATGAATATGTCAGCAGAAGGTAGTCTAAATCTCTCGTATCTATTATGGCAGTTAATTAATTCTCTCGATCAAGGTTATGAGTTGGATGACATCCAAAAGAACTAAGTACGACCGTGTCCCTGTGAACCTACCCCCAACAGACCCCATAGAGAAATCTATTGATTTGTGGAGCTTATCAAATCTTCAGACTGATTAATGTTTAAAACATTTCGCCATATCGGTTAAAACACAGCGGGACTGTTGCGTACCGCCGCAATATGTTGAAGGAAACTCTGGTGTGTGCACTTGGCTGGCTGAATACTCACTGCTGTCTCTCACAGATGTTAATACAGACATCACAGTCCAATCGAGCTGAGGTCAGGTTGAGCACGCGGGGCTCTCGTGCTTCTCTCCTCTAGAGATGGAGCGCCACAGCAGGTGTGCACGCGACAAGCTTCCGCGCTCATGAGCCGGATCTCTGGCTGCAGCAAAGCGAAAGAGCACCCCAGATGCAGATAAGTATCAATAGAACAGTTTGCTAATTGTCAGTTGGCGAACCAGCACTGAGAAAAAAAGTCATGATAATTATAATACAACGACATAATGTAGAACGGAGCTCGTTGCAAGTGGCGACATGCAGCTGTACATTCAAAAGTCCAAGCGAAGACAGGAACCGTCCGCGATTTTAAGGAAGCTGTGGGACAAAGGCACTCAATGAACAGTAACTCAGGATCACATGGAGAAACTTTTTGTTGCCCATTTAGCTATTGGCACGTTTGTAAATCAGCAGGTTTCAAAAGAAGTCATGAGCAAACAAAATTATTTCCCCTAACCATCATAGTTAGGCTATAGGCTATTTCAACAGGAAAAGAATGAAAAATGCTGCATAAAAAATATTTTAACTGATATTTTAAAATTACAATGTTTTAAAAGACAGTACATGTCATTTTACTGTAAGTTATTATAGCGAATTAATTGGAAGGGGCATTCCCAAAATTCACTGCTCAAACCATCACATTTGTTTGGATTTTATTTTTGTAAAAGTTACTGGAGTTCAGGTGTTTTATATTGCATTGTATGTTGTTTAGTTGATGTTTACTGCTTTATTTTGGCGTCACATGTGTTGCCCTTGTGGTGTTTGTGTGGTTAAACTGGGCTCTGTCTTTGTTATTATTGGCCACAATAGAAGTCATCATGTGCCACCTTCCATTGTGCCACCTGTGCTATTATACAGGTAACAGTAGCCTATAACAAAAAGATAGCCCAAACAGACTGATATATTTATGACCTGTAAAATATCAGAATGGCATCCCGTGTGCATGTAACATCGCCACTGTATTTTTACAGTAAAGGTCTGCAATCACAACGTCCAGTTTTTAACCATAAATATAACAACACTGTACAGCAGGCTATACATTCAAAAACAGCATAAGCACCACCTTTTGAATATAATTCTAACATTAAAATGAATTAAAATCAAATACAAAAACAAATTAGTGAATGTTCTTTGTTTTACAATGTATGAAAATATGAATTATGAAATATGCATCTGTTTTAGTGACTGCAGTGCACTTTATGTTTCAGCATAGATACCCTGCATCTACTACTAGCTAACTGTCGGCGACCGAAGAGTTAAAGGGAGGAGACGAAGCGTGTCACGCCTCATTGGGCAGATTATGTGCAGCAAACAAAAAGTGTGTATGTGGGTGCCACTCAGTCAGTGTATCGGCCCCATCTGCACGCCTCTCTGCGCTCGCGAGTCATAAGACGGTCGGCAACACTGTCACTTTCAACAGACGGGGAAATGTACTGACTGCACGGACTTCATCGGAGACGCTGAACACATACTTGCAGATATATTGACGGCAATTGTGAAATTTTGTGGATTATTTTATCCTAGTACCATGGTGAGTAATGACAATTTTGCAATAAAAACAGTCGGAGGCTAGTAATACACGGGGCTGTATGCAGCACCCTAACAGCATCCTCGCAACCGTGTAGAAAGCTCGCAGATGGTAGACGACAGAGGGAAACTGGCTACACATCATAAAGTCATAAAGTTGGAATAACAACAAGCCCGCAGATAAAAAGCGCAATAAATTTTAGCCCGAAATAGGAGGTCAATGGGTTCGTCTCCTCTGTTTTAGAAATGCGCATATATTCACGGGTCTATTATAGTATTTAGTTGAAATGCATATTCATTGGGTCCTTTGTGTGATTCTCAGGAGTGAGACCGACCTCACAGCTACAAAAGGAGAGGATCGTGAAAGGAAGGGCAAAAATCAAGGCTTGTTATGGATGAAGGGAACTTTTAAGCATTTGTGTCTTGATAATACAATCGAGAGCCGGACGTGTCTGTTTGAAATAGCCAAGCATCTTCATCATAAATAAATTGTTATTTAAACGCTTTGCAGAATTATGTCTTTCATATTTCCACACTTTCATTCTATTTTTGTATTAGGCGCGTCAGTGTCCTATAACCTACTTTATTTGAGCGATAAATACGAAGTAGCATTAGAGAAAACAACAACAACAGTCTGCTTTATAACCGCAGCCTGCCCTGTACCACTCAGTTGAAAAACTGTAAACGATTTTGTAAATTTATTACGTTTTTAATAAACGTGTCTGAAAAACAGCTGCAAAATTTAACACAATTCGAGCTGCGTTTTACCTGCTTTGCAACTAACTGCAGTAACAACATTTCCCTCCACTCTTGTCCTTGTGTAGAAATTATTTTTTCACTTGATTTTTCTTTTTGACCTCTTCAGAAAGCTGAGAAATCATGTGAAATCCCAGCAATATGCCGCACTGTTAGTAGCCTATCTGTTAAAACTATAATAAAACTATTAGAAACAGACATGAGCAATATGGAATAGACTGTATATTAAATATATTTCCCCACCGTTTTTAAATGCTACTAAAAACAAGTTACACGAGTGAACTGCAATTCACGCGTAACAAAATAGCTACGAGAGATTCAGCTCATTTGTAAAAGTGCATCAGGGGTTTGGAGAAGAAAAATAATTAACTCTGCCTGCTGCCTTAATTAAAGTCTCAGAAGGAAAGTGGTGGATTATGGTAATAAGGAAACATACGTTCCTTCTTGTAGAATGGAGCTAAAGGTTAGCTGACGTGAAATCAGTGACTTTGACAGTGCTATTGAATGCATTCGATATGGTCCTCGATGGTAAAATAGACCGAACGGTCTCATAAGGCCAGATTTTCATCCTTGTCAAAGGCATGTACAATATTTCCAACAAGTGAAAGAAAAGTCTGAAAATACGCACTGAGAGTTACTAACGTAATACTGTCACAGTCACGCTTTTAAATCGAAAAAATGCACTGTAAGAAATAATCTTCTTTTCGATTACTTTCTCTGCTTTTTTACAGAATTAATACAACTATTTAATTCTACGTTTACATTTTATAATATAGGCTAGATTATATCTTAAATGACATACAATACATTGAAGTTTCAAAAATAACAACACTATAAAAATACCAACAATGTATAGGCCTAATTTAAACGAAGAAAAATAGCTTTTAAAAAACAAACAAGGCACGGGCCTAAGTAAGACTGCGTGCTTGGAGATTTTATTAAATGCTTTGTTCAGGAGATTCACTTGGAATTGCACATAAGAACTAGGAAAAATATTTACATACATTTTATAATTGAGAAATGGTGACTTATGCGCGGTTCTGTTTATTCACATGAATTCACCCACACTTTTGTCTTACAGCAAATGATGGAGGAATCCAGTTCGCAGAGACTGGGCTGGGATGGCGACGCGAAAGCGATGCAGCAGTGTTTAACGGATATATTTACCAGCGTGTACACCACCTGTGACATTCCGGAAAATGCCATTTTTGGCCCATGTGTTCTGAGTCACACTTCACTGTATGACAGCATCGCCTTTATCGCTCTCAAGTCCACAGATAAACGAACGGCGCCTTACATATTCAGGGTATGGTCACGCTTTATTTCACTTCCAACAAGTCGAGAGTTTGAAATGTGTAGCCTATTTATTTCAGCCATATAGGCCTAACTCCAATATATATATCGTTTTTACAAATATGTAAAACTGTGGTAGAGGAATTTTATTCTTTTGAAATAATTACTGATATGTATTTGCTGATGGTTCTAAGGTTTTAGCTAAATGTTTGAAATGTTTGCTGGATACAGGTGGACACCTCAGCTGCCAACAGTTCCTCAGAAGGCCTGATGTGGCTGAGGCTGGTTCAGTCTGCGAGAGACAGAGACGAACAGAACCTAGAGGCCTATGTGAAGAACGGCCAGCTTTTCTACAGGTCACTGAGGAGAATAGAGAAAGATGAAGAGCTGCTGGTGTGGTATGGCAAGGATCTCATTGAGCTGCTGCTGCTGAGCTCAGGCAGAAATCAAGCCAAAAGTAAAGGTACACTTTGAAGATCAACATGTGATCTAATATTTTACATTTTTAAAAATTAAAAATAGCAGCTGTTTGTGTTTAAATATTCAGTAAATATAGTTTGATGAGTTTGCATAATATAGATTGATCAAATATTTAAAAAATGCATACACATTATACAAAGTCAATAATTTATAGCTATAAAATAATTTGTAAAAAAATTATGTTTTAATAAATTATGTTATAATAAAATATTATAAATTTAATAATTAATCATTATCATGCTATCATTATGTACCCCCCCCATCATTTATTTGATGCAGGAACGTCGCCCTATTTGTGCCCAGACTGTAGCCAGCGTTTCCAGTTCGAATTTCCCTTTTTGGCTCATCTAAGATTTCACTGCACTAAGAGACTACAAAGCATGGCCAGCCCAGAGGAGGAGGCCACGGATGCCAGTGACCAGGCTAGTCTACCTCCTGCCAGGTCCAGTCCCAAACTGGGTCGATCTGATGGCTTCTCCAATCCCCAGGAAGGAAAGCCATCCACAGACTTCCATAATCTAGCCAGGGATTTGGAGAAAAACAGAACCAGTCCGCCGAGCGACAAAGAGGCCGAGATCCTGAGCGAGAACTCTGGAAAGCGCAAGTTCTCTGACATGGAGGACAGCAGGAACAGTGGATTATCTCGGCCTCCCAAGTCCAAAGAGGAGTTGGCCAACTCGGCGCAGCAGTACCGTGGAGCGTACGGTCTGGACGAGAGCAGGCGGGCTTTCTCGCCCTCTGTTTCAGAGTCGACGGAAACCAAGAGGAGCGCCTTCACCGAGGTCAAGAAGTCACCTCAGAGCTTGAAGCACAGCGGTAAAAACTCCAGCTCCAACTCGGAGAACAAGGAGGCTGGCCGGCCCAGCAGCAACCCGGCTGAAAAGCACCTCAACATCAGACAGGTTCTCAGCGAGACTCAGCCCCCGCAGTCCCGAATGGAGACCTCGTCAATTGGCAGCGCTTTCACTTCGGTGCTCCAGCAGGGTGGTGGAGGCTCGGAGAGAAAGAGTGCCTTTAGCCAGCCGTCTCGCACCTTCTCGCAGCTATCAC